TTTTTTTTTGTGTATGTGTATCAAGCAAATATCATGTAAGTAATGTAAATTCTCCCGTTGATAGTGTAAGTATAGGAAATCGTATGAACGCGAGTGCATTTCGTGATTTATGGGCACGAGTGATGTTTTGAAAGTTCTCAAAATTGCACGAGCCGTACGCGAGTGCAATTTGAGAACTTTCAAAACATCACGAGTGACCATAAATCACGAAATGCACGAGCAGGTTCATACGATTTTTTATTTATTATATTCTCGACAAAATTACTCCATCGCGCTACTCTGCACGCCTTACGTACTACAAAAAACACTTCAATGGGTTCCAAAATGCTCACATGTTTTATTTGAGTCAATCAAAAATGTAATGTTGAGACAGGTAAATCAAGCGTGAAGTTCTTGAAAGTTTCTCAGGAAATTTTACAAGCCGAACTCAAAAGCTAAATTTCAGTTATTAAAAGCGGCAAGAGTACTTAAGCCCGCTAAACTGTTTTCAAATGTTTGATCTCAATCGGCCTCAGAGAATAACATTCTGACTTGTAGACTTTGGTGAACTGCATTGCCCCTGAATCACGTTAAATGTGACTTGACAGTTGTGAAAGTTGTTCACAATGAAAGCATGGCCGCTTGTTTTCACCTGTTCACACGTTGAAGTCGTTGCAGGAGAAGACCACATTGGTAGACCAGGAAAACTGCTGGAGGCTGCTGACTGTGGAGCATTGCTGATAATGTTTGAAAGCTGTCGCTGTTCCTTCTCGCTACCTTCATCGTAGTTAAGAGACTTTTCACTCGCGTGGCCGGTCACCTGGATTATCGACTGCCTCTCGACGCTTGCTGCTCTGAGTTTCTTCACAACTGTCTTCCTTGCGGTGTGGTTAGTCAATTTCTTCTTGCTTGTTTCCAGAGCTGTGTTCTTGACGACGCTCTTCATCATATTGTCGATGCTGTTTACGCCGAGCCGCTGCTTCTTGTACCAAACATTTGTTTTGGGATTTTCGATTATGGCAAGGTAAAAAGGACCTTTGTCGCGCAGCTCTTTAGGACGCCTACTAAGGTATTGCTTCAGTAACTCAACAGGACATCTCTGACCGCCAGTAGCGAACATTTTTGGCAGAACACTACGATGTTTTGTGTTCAGTCCTCCCTGCCTCGTCTTTGTAGGATTTTCTTTAAATGTGACGTACTCTGTGCCGCTGTCGTCCACACAAAAACTGAAGTCCTCGACTTCCATTGAATGGTGTTCCTGTCTTCCCCTCAGGCCAAAATGTTGAGTCAAGATCCACCACATCGTCTGGGAAAGAACTCTTGGACTGCTGTCGCCGAGACTTTGTTCACTCCATAGCATTTTTCTTTCGACGGAGACACTTCAATTTTCCTTCGAGTACCAACTTCGACTGGTGAGACTCTCGGTCTCGTATAATAGAGTACTTGTAGTCATGCTCTTTTAAAT